ATTCCTGAATGAAGCAGCCTTCGAATGAATGACTCATAAAGACATTTACCGCCACCTGCTGGCAGATTTAGTTTCTTATTTAGAGTATCATTTAATTAATTAATAATAATAATAATAATAATAATAATAATAAAAACATTAAAGGGATAGTTCACCCAAAAATGTTTAATTCTGTCATCATTTACTCACTCTCATGTCGTTTCAAACCTTTCTTTTGTGGAACATGAAGGTATTTTGAAGACTGTTGGTACAAAGCTGTTTTGGTTACCAATGACTTTCATTGTATGAACAAACAATACTGAGATGTTTCTCAAATTATCTTCTTTTATGTTCCATAGTTTATGTTGTACGTTGTAGCCTAAATGTTTGTGTAATTAAATTTTATGTTGAATCAAATAAAATATTTCTAAAGCTACAATTTGTAATGCCTACTTGATACTTTCTCATTTAACAAAAATATCTTTAAATAAACTTTTGTGGGTATTTTCACAGTTAAATTTATTTAGCCATTAATTGCGATTATTTAGATTAATTAATCAAAACATCATGTAATTAATTAGATGAAACATTTTAATCGACTGACAGCCCTAATATATATATATATATATATATGAGTGTGTGTGTGTGTGTGTGTGTGTGTGTGTGTGTACTTAAACTTCAGTAGCAAAAATTCTACCAGAGTTGATAAACTTGATTCATTTCTGTGAATCAGTTCAAACTGTCTGTTTCAGTGAATCAGAAAACAACCAATTCAATTCAGTTTATTTGTGTCATTACTAAAAAACTGCACAGAAGTCTCTATGAGTTGTTGTGTCTTTTTTTTTTCTTCTCTCCCATCCATATTAAGATGTTTTTGCAGTTTTATATGTTGGTAAATACGCTTTTTATTTCTATTTATTATGTTGGTGTATGGTGTATGTTGTTAATTTTCCGTGAAATTTGATGCCTTGATTCTTTTAAACTAGAGTGTTATTGTATTTTACTTTCTGCATTAAAAATTTTGATTCATCATGGCTACAGTTAGTTTTGTTCAAATTATGTTATTCTGATTCACCTTTTAAAGCCATTTCAGAGTGAAAACACACTGTAAATTGTGAGATATTATTATTTGGCTATATTACCCTGCAGCTGCTAAAGCACAGAGACGCGATATAGTCTCACAGAACCAGACTTGCAAATCAATCAATTCATTCAAATAATAGTGAAAAAGTCTCCATGAAAGGTTATAGAGACAATGCCAAACAAATGTACTATCAAAACATGCCAAAATAACCACATTTGTTTGACTATTGAGAGACCTTTGGTTGTTCAACATCATGAGCATGAGTTTGTCCACCACATGTATAAAGGAGTGAACAATGCTTATATTCTGATCTGCCTTTTAAATAAAGCCACACAATAGCTTACTAAAGAAAAAATGCTGAGTCAAATGAAATGTACGTCATATACCACCCAACTAAGCAAAACAATTTATAAATAACTGCTCCCAATAACCACCAAAAGATACTTTTGTTATTTGATAAATCCCAATGTGACTGTTCAGTTCTATATGTGAAACGAGAAAGCCAGTTTGCGATAAAGGCCTTCAGATCCTTAAATACACAATACTGAGATACAGAAAACATTTGATTCAATCTATGTCCTGCATGGCAAAGGTACAAAGTCCAAAGTATAGTCAGATTAATTATTGCAAAAAGTTTTTTTCTCCCCAAGTTGAGACTTTTAAAATGCCATGCAAATGCTTTTGTTTTAACTATCAGAGCTAGATAATGCAAAACTGGCTCGGCTTCATCCAGCATGTTTGCGTGTTAATTGCAAGACAGCTGTCCTCAGCGCATGTTGTTTCAGAAGATCACAGAATACGTCATGAATAATATAAACTATGAATCATTAATTATTATTGTGAATTCCAGTGCTATTTGTCATTCGGCATGCAATTAATTTTTTTAAACAATTTTGTTGTTAATTATTTTTTTCCCTATGCTGTGTTGGCACTGACATCCAGATCAGTTCTTTAATACTTGTCGAATATAAAATTTCTACATGCACAACAATTCAGTAAATTTGAATTTTACATTTGTGCACACAATTTAGTTTCTGCAATTAAATAAATCAATCTTCCTGAAAATACCCTTCTGTGGTGTTTAGTTATTATTATTATTATTATTATACCCATTATGTTTTAGCCATGATTTCACTGTTGTTTTTGGATTTTTTGTTTCCCCAAGAATCCCTGAATTTGAAAAATCTCCCTTGATCTTTTCTGAACTTATTGTCCGGTATCAGTGTTTTTTTAAATGCAAGTCACTGTTTCACACTGAAACGTGTTTCCAAAATGAAACAAACATGATCAATGTCATTGAGTGGAATTGAAAGAGAAGCCAAATGAGTTGCTATGTAGCACACCCTTGTGCAAAACATTAACAGCATTCAAGTGAGCCGCAGAAATGTGACATGTAGCACGTATCAAACAACATACCTGTTGAATTACAGTGGTTACCATTACATTTCTCCGGCCTGGATGAGAAACAAAATGTCTCTGTTTTCATTTTGAGTTCTACTAGAAAGAACAAATCCATCAAACAGCCGAGCCCAACTTTTATGCATTGGTATTTGAGTTACACATTTGTCACATTATGTTCTGTTCCTGTTTCCTAGTGTTTGCCTGTTAGTCACTAATTAAGTTCACCTGTTGTTCATTTAGTTTCCTTGTTTACCCTTGAATTTAAACCCTGATTTCTATCTGTTCATTGTTCCGTGTCGTTGGTATTTTATGTGGTTGTGCTTTACTAATGTTCCTGTTATCCTCTGGTTGTGGCCATTTCTGTTGTATTTTCTACATTATGCACTTATTACAGCCAACTATGCTAGCCAACTTTAAAATAAGGTTTGATTTTGACCTTCAACCTCCACATCTTGGTCAAAAAGCCTCCCAAAAGTAAATTCTATTACATCGAAAAAATGACTTAAAGATAATGGAGGAGCCGAGAAAAATGTTCATAGATAATACAGAAAAAGTATGGATAAAATATTTAATTAAACAATATTTATTTAGAATATCATTGAAAAAAAGTAAGATAGTGAAGGATTTGAGAAACATATTAAAAGTATGCTGAATGTACAGAAAATACAAAATTATTTAATGTAAATTTGACTTTTAACCAGTATGAATTTATTTAAATACATTTAATTAATTTATTTAGGAGGTCATTGAAAAAAAGTATTTAAGATAGTGGATGAGTTAAGAAAAATATTAAAAAGCATACAGACAAATACGGATCAAATAATTGTATTCTAATTTTATTCTAATTTAATACTGTAATTTATTTATTAGTTTTTTTTTACAAGTTCATTGTAAAAAATCAAACATTTACATGATATTTTTATATTCTTGGTTAATATTGATTTCTGTTTTAAACATTTCCAATTGTGCAAATTAATATGGCATTATGAATGAACAGGAATTAACAATGAGCAATAGAATATTTAAAGTATAAAATATGATGTGAGGAAAAAAGGGGATTAGTCTCAAAATAAAACATAAAAAATACATAAGTCAAATAAAGTAGAAAATGACTGAAGATAGAGCAAAATGAAACTGTTCTGCTTATGGTTATCTAGTTTACACATTAATAAAGTAAGTGGATTTTAATAAATATAGCATCCGTGTGCAGTTTTTCAGGATTAAAACCTAGTTTAACTAGGTGCTATTCACTGGTAATTGCCCTGCAGCATGCCTTTTTTAATTAAATTATCATCATTATTTTCAACACAAACACACTTCCTTTCGATGTATGTAAAACAAGCATATTATAGATTATAGTTTTTGTTCTTACTTAATTCCATTTATGAATAACTTTCAAGGAAATGATGTGAATCATGAATAACCTGAACACATGCGGTTCTTTGCTCATTGTTGCAACATTTTACGTATCAGGTGGTCAGAAAATGGACCGCAGCAGTCTGTGAATATGATATCTGAGGCTTCATGGGAACAGATAAAGTAACAATGAAAATGTTTAAAGGGGTCATATGATGCTGCTAAAAAGAACATTATTGTACAGAAAAATCAATTAAAGA